TTGTTTAAATATGTGGATTGATATAAGAATCTGTATTGAAAACAAATACTGAATTTCCTATTAAAATGTCCATAAAAACAGAAAAATGGCCCTAGCTCAAGAAGTCCTTGTCTAATCTTAATTAAATTTACTAGTGCACTTGACAGGGGTTCAAAGTATAATATCCTCCTAAATTGGTTGGGCTATTATGTATTGTTAAAGCTGTATCTGAGGAAGACACATACATACATATATACAAGATTAGAGTTTTATACAGATAATGCTTTAAGACACTTATTAAATCTATACAAAAACCAATTTCCCCTGTCCACAAAAATTGTCATTTTTCTCTGCACAACGATACATAAAAACCCAAGCTTTGAGTATTTTTTTTTTTTAATGTAGAGAAAATAATATCCACCATAACATGATTAAAATGAATGAAACCATATAAAGGACTTAATAGGCAATATTCAATTTAGACTTTGTATCTCTCTCTATATATATTACATATGCTTATATAAACAAAAACCTTGATAATGTTTTCATTAATCAGAATCTGAATAGAAGCAACGGTGAATGAGTTGCCTATTAACCTCTTATATCTGAAGATTTTATTAACATACCGTTGCTGTGTGGTGATGAAACAAGTCATTAATGGTAGATTGAATAATGTGAATATCACATTTGAGAGAATACATACAGCAATTTTAAAAAAGTCATATATACTATTTACATTGTTTGGACTGTTGTCCCCATCTTTATTGCCATATTTACAATGTTTTGACCATTGCATTCTCCAGCCTTCTTTAGGTGATATACATTGGAATTTTGAACTGAACCCTTTATTTTGTCCACCAGGATAGATAGTTCTAGTTCTGTATGCTATGCCTTTTCTGGATATCTCAGTTTCAGTTATTTCCCTTTAGTAAACTCAACTCTCCAATTTTCTGGTCACCTCTACAGGTATTGAACTCACAACTCTTTGGGTCAAGTCACTGGATTACTTCAACCAGCACTTTTATCCACTGAGCCACAGCAGAGGTAAACAAAAACTTGGATGAAATAAAGGGTTTGGTTCGAAATTCCATCTTATATCATCTGAAGAAGGTCAAAGCATATCCAAAACATCAGGAATAGGACAATAAAGATGAGGACAACAATATAAATAGTGTAAATAGTTACAATACTTCATCTCAGAAATATAGACTGTGAATATGACAATAAAGATGAGGACAACAGTCCAAACAATGTAAATAGTTTAAATAGTTACAATACCTCATCTCAGAAATATAGACTGTGAATATAGCAATAAAGATGAGGACAACAGTCCAAACAATATAAATAGTGTAAATAGTTACAATACCTCATCTGAGAAATATAGACAGAATTATATTATGCTGAATATAACATCAACATCAGCTAAGTGACAATTTTATTTGTATTAATCATATATATATATATATATATATATATATGGTGGACTCTCCCATCGAGTTCGATATATGAGGTTCTGATGACCACAAACTAATTATCTGCATGCCACTGACGGGCATGACTTTTGAGACTGGCTTGAAAATTGCACAAAAGACCACAAACAGTACAGGAGAATGTATTGTATCCAAGTGCAGCAGGAACACTGTTAGATGTCTTATTTTGCTTTTTCATTTCATTTAGTCGACTGATTCTTACTTCTCAGTGCAGGTATATCAATGTTGTACTTCTTTAACTCCAATGCAACCAGAGCTGTTTTTCTTTCTGGTGCTGAGATGTTGTCCTGGAAAGTTCATACATTCCAAGTGCCAAGATGAAATTGATGTTGTTTCATTGAGTTTTCTGCAATAGCTGGATATGTGTGGAACTAATTAGATGTAGTTGTCAGAAAAACAACACAATGATTTGTTTCAAGTGGTGAAGGATTGTGTCAGACTATCCACACTTTTTAGATCTGTCAATAAAAAAGTAATGGTGCAAAAGACTTGCCACAGAAACTCCGAATGACAGTCCTCATGTGTTATTATCACAGAGTTTAACTTCTCCAGATCACTGTCAATACCAGCCAGTACATGCCTCTCAGCAGACAAATGCAATATAATGACCAGATTAAGCTGTCATGAGTTTTCTTTCCCATCTGAAGTCTTTTTATTGTGCAAAACCAACACTAAAAGGATTGCTAACCAAAGCTCAGAGAGACTCATTTCACCCTCATTACCATATATTATTAAATATAACAGACAATGAATGTCTATTATGTCTGATCATGAGCCATTTTAATGTCCAAATGTTTGCTTTAATTTCAGGTGAAAATAAAGACAAAAATTGTCCAACATTTCGATATTTTTTTATAAAGTTGGTCCTAAGCATTTGGCCCACATGAGCCAGCCTCAGAATGGTTATACAGACATGAAACAAAGATATCCACTGTCAAAGATTATATTTTGTTATTTTGATGTAGAAAATTGCTATGCGATGACAACGGTTGCAGAATAGCAAACGCAGATCGTAAGTTCAAGATGTGGTTCTATCATGTGGTGTGACATCATAGAACTAGTAGTTTAGAAACAATAATAAATCAACAAAATGCCAGGAATCTCAAAATTAATTATGCAACAAAATAACACTAGTATTTTAAGCAAGTGCAGAAATGAGAATAGATGTCCATTAAATGGGGCTTGTAAAACAGAAGCTATAATTTATAAAATAGAAGTAACAGATATTAATGACCAAAATATAACACACAAAGGATGTACAGAAGGTATTTTCAAACATAGATGGTACAACAATAGGTCGTCCTTTAAGCTAGCAAATATTAGGTACTCTACCAAACTAACTAACCATGTGAATTTAAAAGGAAAAACAACAGGGATCCATTTGTAAGGTGGAAAATTTTAAAAAAGGCAAAAGTGTACAACAATCACTATGATATTTGCAACCTCTGCCAGCAGGAAAAATTAGTGCTTATAACATTTCTGGATCCAAAATACCTTTTAAACCAGAAATTGGAAGTCGTAAGTCCTTGCTTACATATCAGAAATTTTTTCTTAAGTGCATTTGAGGCTGCATAAAAAAAAGTAATTTACCCAACACCCACCCACCAATACATTTATGATACACCTCCTCCTCCTCCTCTTTCTTCTTCTTCTTCTTCTTCTTCTTCTTCTTCTTCTTCTCTATTATTCTATTACACTCAATGTCGTGTATTTGTTTTTGTTTTTTGTTTTTTAAAATAATAATGTAGCATTGTTTGTTTCTTTTAAAAAAATGTTATGTGGTCATTTGATAAAAATTGCCCAAGGATACTGTAAGGTTGAAAGCAAGGTAGTGGATTCAGTTGACCTCCTGATTTTTAAAGTATATATAATTAATAATAAAGCAGTGTACATGTGCCCATCCATCCATTGCTTGAACTTGGAATTTACGCATATGCTTCAATTAAACAGTGGTGCATGTGTAAAACATTCTCACTCACTGGCCCGTTCACATTCATTCAAACGCTAATCACACAAACAATAGAAGTATTAATATTCATTAGTTATTTAGAGCATTATTATTTTTTACTAGCCTAAAGCCCTCCTTTCTTCATATTAATTTTCTTCTTCTTTCTTCTATCTATAATAATAAAGTGAAGTATATGTTTATTCATCTGTCCTTTTTTTCGATCTCAGAATTTACACATATGTATGCCGAATAAATAGAACAATAGAAGTATTAATATTCATCAATTATTTACAGCAGTATTATTTTATACTAGCCTAAAGCCTGCCCAAAGACTTTTTCTTCAAATTAATCTTCTGCTATTTATATTCTAATAATAAGGCACAGTGTGTCTGTCCGTCCATTTGTTTTTCAATCTTGGCGAATCATAAACAACAGGTAGTAACTACTGTAGTTGCAAGCGATTAAAAATTAAATAAGTAACTCATTTAAAGTTAAATTTAAATATAGAACAGAGTGAAAGGTTTAAAAAACGATTTTTATTAAAGGTTTAACTTTAATTTTGTTTTTGTTGCAATTGCCATTGATATTATCTAATTAATCTGTAATTAAAACTTAAGCAGAGCATGGTACATTGTTCATATTGGTTTTTTTTCCTTTTTCTAGCACATATACTGTGATGTATTCAAAATATTACATAGTATGTGTTATGGTCCAGGTTAGGACCAAGGAAGAACAACACGAACACAAGAGTAGAAATAACAAAGGTATATTACACAAAATAATAATATAAGATGTGGAAGGTGTTAGTATGACTGTCAGTCTGGTTTGGAGTGAACTACAATTGGCTCGACTTGATTTGGTATCTAGCCACCCCCTACGAGGGTTTCATGTGGCACAAGGCCGAGTTTAACGTGGGTTTCCCAAGCCCGTAAGCTTGGCCAAAAAGTGCCCGTAGAACCTGTATAAATGGGATCGGGTTGGTCAACCTCCCTGAACAATACTCTGCCCTTCGGTGGAGCCTCATCCGGGTTCCTCTCTGCTCAGAGGCAGAGAGTTTGACCATCAAGCCGAGAAGCTCGACTCGATTCGTCCCTCTCTCTTGAGAGGTGTAGTATACATAGTGTTAGGAAGAGTTCATTCTGTAGTTATAGGTAAGGACCCATGACAGTATGGGTTCCCTAATGTCATTTAAGAGTGACTTTATATAAAGGGATCATAAAGAATGATGATTTTAAAAGAAAATAAAAATTGTGTGCTAAATAAATGAAAACAAACTACAGAGATTAGTTATATATAAAATAAAGATTATGCTGAATTAAAGTGTCGAATAAAGATAAAATAATTTTATTTTTTATTTTTTTATTCATGTATCTTGGCTTGGGAAAGGAGTAAGATTGTTAGAATGTTTTTTTTTTTTTAGATAATAGTGGTTTAGTGATACAAGTCTTACTAATTAAATATAGCTAGGGGGAAGAAGAGGTGGATTCATACCTTTCTCAAGTAAGTGAATATAACACACAGAACTTGGCTCTCTGATTGACAATTCCAAGCCATTATCCATTACACCACCCACACATCCAAGGTTACAGCATGTGGTATTCCCAAGCAATCACCCATCTTGGTACTGATCAGGCTCAACATTACTTAACTTCAGTGATTGTACAGAGACCAGTGTTTAAATGTGATATGGTCATAAGCCTCATCCTGAAGGGACACGGCGTATAGAAGAAAATAGTAGAAAGTCATTCATTATCCTTTGTAGTTAGTAATCCAGTCAGCGGTATCAATAACAGTTGAATCTAGAGATTCTACCACAAAAATTAAATTCTCCAATATTCTCAAGTCTCCTCTTCATCCGTGAGGAAATTTTCTAGCATTGACTTCTTGTAGTATTAATATTCCATAGTAGTTTATCACTGTTTCTTTTGTTTTTAACAAACTTTTCCTATGTCTTCAAAAACCACCTGCCACTCTCTGTCTTTAAAAGTCAGATCAGATGAAAAATTATGAATTCCTTCCATATCTGGGCTGAAGCTTCTCAGTCCTTTCTTTCCGGCCTTGACACAATTCAAAAGTGTTTATGTGGTGTTCTGGGATGTTACCCATAATAAAAATAATGGACTATTCCATACTTAATAAATACTACGCCTCAGGAGTAAGCAAGGAGTCAGTCAGTAGTTCACTTTTGAACCGACTGTTTGGTTGAACTCTCTGCCTTTGGGCGGGAGGAACCCGAAGGAGGCTATGCCAAAGGTAAACCGCAGAGGTAAACCGGCCATGAGCCCATTTATACGGGTTCAATGGGCATATTTTGGGGCCGAGCCCACGGGCTGGGAGAACCCACAATAAATAACCGACCTTGTGTCACATGCTGCGGGGGGCTGAATATCGTCAGTCAATAGTTCAAGTCTTGACTGGCTGTTCGGTTGAACTCTCTGCCTTCGGGCGGGGAGGAACTCGAAAGAGGCTACACTGAAGGGCGGAGTCTCTTTCGGGGAGGTAAACCAACCCTGAACCTGTTTATACGGGTTCAAAGGGCATATTTTTGGCCGAGCCCATGGGTTCGGAGATGCCACGTTAAACCGACCTTGTGCCACATGACGCCCTTGGGGGGAGGGGCTGAATATTGTCAGTCAGTAGTTCATCAGTCGATGTCGGACGACCGGCTGAACGGTTGAACTCTCTGCCTTCAGGCGGGGAGGAACCCGAATGAGGCTACACCGAAGTGCGGAGTCTCTTTCGAGGAGGTAAACCGACCCTGAACCCATTTATACGTGTTCAAAGGGCATATTTTTGGCCGAGCCTACAGGCTCGGAGATCCCATGTTAAACCGGCCTTGTGCCACATGATGCCCTCGTGGCGGGGTGACTAAATACTGTCAGTCAATAGTTCAAGTAGAGTCAGTAGAGTCAGTCAGTAGTTCAAAGGGAGTCAGTAGTTCAAGTAGTGTCAGTTGTTCGAGTCGAGTCAAGAGTCGAGTCAGAGGCAGTCCGAAACAGAGTTGTGTTCAGACAATTACTGCAAGACATTGGAATAGTGATACTGGTCGAGACTACATTGTTCTCTCTACTAAACCTGATTGTTCATACTAACACTTCTACTTCTCTGTATATATTCCTGTTTGTAATATATCTGTGTTATTCCATACCTGTGTTCGAGTTCTTCTTTAATCATTCTACCTTGGACTATCACCGTGGTACAAGGAACCGGACCATAACACGTGGCCTTGTAGGTGATGACTTATTTTCCAACCTACAACCCTTTCCTACTGACAAAACATCCCAAGCCTTTCCAACTCTTTCACTATTGGCATGGAAATATTCTGATCAGTTACATTCTCTAGTTTCACCAGTTCAGACCTTTACAGCTAAGCCCCACTATATCATGTATAATGATGTAAACCCTTCACATTCCCTTCATATGCCATTGGTTAGAAAGAAGCACCATTCAGACAGCTTCTTCTCAAGAGCTGATACTTTTGCAGAGCAGACTTCTGGGAGGATACTTCTCTGAACATATGATCTTAACCTCTTGAAGTCTGGGGTCAAACATTACCTATCATATATATCTTCATAATCAGCATTTACTACCCTGTTCTATGTCCATACAACAATATCATTTTGTAACTATCTATCTTGACCGGCTCTTGGGCCTTATATTGGATGAACATTTAGCAAAGAAAAAAAATAATTTAGTTTCGGGTTTTTTCACTATTGTTGATTTCTATGTAATGCTTCCAGAAAAAAAAAATTATTTAAAAATTTAATTTTAATCTTTGTAACATATATTTCTTGGTTCCTTAATAGTTTTTTTTACAAATTAGTTATCTATATAATTTTCACAACAGCATTTCTTTAAAAAAAAAAAACACAGTAGTGGTTGGTTGGATTGTACCCCTATTTGTCCTTTATGATGAGAGACAAAAATACCATTTCTTAACTTGGTCAAGTGTCATAGTGTATTGGTTACACCAGTGAGTCTCAACCACCATACCGCCAGACATTAGTGTGCTACATGATCCTCTTAAGTGTGCTATGAAAGTATGATTAGATTTTAAATTCCTTCATGAATATTCCTTCTAATATTGGACTTTAGTTATGTGAAGATGAAGAATTAACTACCATTTCTTGTGATTGAGGGCACAAAATAATACATTTGATTAACCTCTGTAACTCTTAGCAAATTTTGTCTTTTTGCTACCTCCTAATCCCTGTTCTGTCAACCATTTGCACAAGCTCATCAGATTAGGTTATTCACTATTTCCTCTGTTCCTCATGTTTTCAATATATCATGTAAATGTCAAATTCTCAAAGTCCTCTTTCTTCATTATGTGCCTCAAAAAATTCAAACTATCTCTTTGTGATTCTATGTATAAGTGTCCTTTTTGTTTTCATTTTCATTAAAACTTTGTCATTACACACATGTTCAGTCCATGGTATTTTCAGCATCTTTCGATATAACTATATTTCCATTGCCTCAAGTCTCTTCTTTATCTCTGATAAAATTATGAGCTGCTTTCGCTGGTTCACAGACTTAATGAATTTAAGCGCTCACCTAGGCTGTCATCTCGCTCTCACCCTTTCACTGTCGAAACTGTTAAATGTAGCCATCTCTTTTACTCCAATAGCTTCATGTCTCACACTTCTCGCCTGTGGAACTCCCTCCCATTTCTTGTTTTCCTGATAGCTATAATCTCCAACTATTCAAATGTAACGTCAATCGACATCTCCAGATGCCCCGATCTATCCCCTAACCATCTCTTCATTCTTTCCTCTATCACTCCTCTTTGTTCTTGCTCCAACTCTGTAACCCCTTATGTGCTAGTTGCTTCCCACCTTGCTTGGGGTTGAATGCTTAAAAAAAAAAAAAAGGGCCAATATTATATTATAATTATATTATAATTTTTCCTTCATTTCTAACAAAATTTTCCTAACAAAATTTAGCCTCTGCCCATGCTATGAGGGGCCTGGGCTAAAGAATGCAACCTTACTGCTGTAAAACAAACTGAGTGGCTGCCACTTTTGTCACTGTATCGAGTGACATCCTTAAGCAGTCGTCATGTGACCCATGTGACTTATCTCCATCATGATAACAGATATTCGGATCCTTGTGTCATTTTCCATCTTCTGTTAAAATGCTTCCCAGATATTTGAACTTCTGCATCTGTTTGATTTTTTTATCTCTATAAACTCCAACTATTTAAATGTAATGTCAATCGACATCTCCCGATGCTCTGATCTACCCCCTAACCATCTCTTCATCCTTTCCTCTTTGTTCATCTTCTATGTTCTGTGTCTACTTCAGGGCGTGTCTAGGAGGTAAGGTTAAAGAAAAAATACCTTATATAGAGCTTGTCATGACAGCTCCGGTCCTTTGAAGCATCTTTTAAGAATCTAGATATTTCAGATCAGTTTTTTTTTATGATCTTTCTACTGAGTTTGAAACATATTACTTAATTACACACTTCTCTCACTTTTCATTGGTTGTCAATACATCTTTATATATTCTGTCTGCACTTCTTCAAACCTTGACCCCTGCTAAGCAAAAAAAAAAAAAAATAGTCTGTAAATGTTGTGAAGGTGGCAGGGTTACAGAAATTTCCCTTTGATCACTACAGCTAAACAACTTACTAGCCAACTTGGAATCCTCATAATTGCTTTACTGTTTACCTTAAAATCTTTTTATATAATTGAGAAGAGTTGGTGTGTCTATTTGCTATACACAGCAAAACAAATTCATGTAGAGATCTCAAATTTGATATGCATATGTACTGAACCCAGAAAAAAGTACTCTAATTATTTCTGTGATATGGAAATAACTTTTATAGTAACAATTACATTTAGTAACCATTCAGGAAATATTGTGTTTGTTACTTGCTATACACAGAATTCAGGTACAGACCTCAAATTTCATATGCATATATACTAAGCCCAGGCAAACTATTCTAATTATTTCTGTGATATAGAAATAACTTTTATATTAACAACTAGCAGTAGAGCCTGGCGTTGCCCAGGGATGTAACAGTAAGAGATAGATCAAGTATTGACCATCATAAAGACTGAAAAATAAAATTGACAAAGATTATTGTTTAAGGTTGACAGACACGCATGTCTTAATTAGTTTTTTTTTTTTATTTTTTTTTTTTTTGCAAATTGGTCAAACCCAAACTCAAACAAAAACATTGTTTTCAATCGTTATGAGTCTATCAATTGAATAGAATTTTATTATAAACAATTGTCTTGTAAATGGAATTTTTAAAGCATTCTGAATGTAAAAATAAAGAAAAAAGTGTGCAAGACAATAAGAAACACTATCTGCCAAAAAAAAAATTAAATTTTTTTTAAATCAGTTGAAAAATGTAGGAAATCCGATCCCATATATAAAGGAACATGCACACACACACACACAACCTGGGTTTTTATAAGTATAGCTCAATATGAGTTGTCCCCCTTTCATTCTGGCAACAGAATCATGTTTTCAAATTGATTTTGTGCAAAAACAATTGTGTTTTTCCAATTTTTGGCACTGTCAGAACTACCGCAAGGTAATTTTATGCAGTCCTGTGAAGTTTTGTTGAAATCAGTTGAAAAATGTAGGAAATCCGATCCAATATATAAACGTACAGACACACACACACACACACACACAATCTGCGTTTTATAATAAGTAAGATTACATTTTATAACCATTCATTG